TCATGCTTATTTGGCTCGGGGACCGACTGGAAGAGGTCATTGTGAATAAAATATCCTCCGGCAATCAGCCACGCCAACTGGTTACCGTAGTAAACCGACGTTTCGGGAACCAGTTGACACGGCTGATTGCCCGAGAAGATTTTATTGATTGTACTCGCCGCGAAAGTCTCAAATCTTATATCAGGTCTTTGTGAGTTTTGTCATTCCATCAAGACATTCTGGGATAATTAATGCAAGAGGCCACCACCGAATCATTTTAATAATATTTCCAAGTATTAGTTATCAACTTTTTATTTGATACTTTGCAAATGGTTCCGTTGAGAAAATATCGACATTTAACCTTAGAGGAAAGGATGAAAATGGTTCCGTTGAGAAAATATCGACAATTAAACTTATAGGAAAGAATGTTACAGAATCATGAGAGATTTTAATGTTTCTGTTGTTATTTAGTTTCTACTCTGCCTAGAACAAGGCCAGTTATGGATATTTTTGTTTGTGGTGACAAATCTCCCGTTTTAGTACAAGTTGGAGTATTGTGAACAAATGAATATATTTAAACTAACTGGGATTAATGAATCTCCGGACAGACTTTTGTAAAGTACTTCAAAATATAATGACTGATGTAAGGTACAAATGTTTTCTGTCTCCTTCAGTGTTAACTAATTTAGAGTGGAAAAAGTATCGACTTAAACCATGTTACTACCGTGTAGTTAGTAGGTAAATATTTAGGAACTAGTGCTACAGATAACCTGCCGGGTTTATGCCACCTTTATATATTCGCTGTGACGATATGGCAGTTTCTGTTGAAGTACGTAGCAGAAGAAGACTTAGAGCAGAGAAGCAGAAAGCGCTTCGCACAATTGTTCTGACTGATTGAAAATAAACACTCTGAGTCTGTTTTCCTACATAGAACAGTTTTGCACGCGGTGTATTGGATGGTTTGTTCTGCAGACACTAGATGTCTGTGTTCGGTGTTATCAAGGACATGTTAAACAGTCGTAGAAGTTCGCATCTTTGGTGATTTAATATAATGCTTCTCCCTGCCACGAGTGCATTCTTGCATCTCTGTTTTAATGGATCTTACGAATTTACTGGTATAGTGTTCCCAGATATTTTAATCCATGCGTGGATTCTTTTTTCAAAATCTCTTAATACCGACACTAGGAGTTCTACGAAAGTGTAGTACCCGGTAGTTTGAGTCACTTTGCTTTCATGACAGTGAGTCAGGAATATCCAGTTTTACAAAGGTGTTTTGATAAAAAGGTCCACTGGAAATGTTTGGTTCATAAATTCTTGCATAAATCTGTTGTTATTTGTATTCCAGAGTACCGTCATTGAAATTAACCAAGCTTTTAAAGGACTTAGGGACTTCGTGATAATTGTTACGTTGTGACTTTTCTCTTATGAGCGAAGACCAAGCGTTTTATTCTTTCCACACGTATTCTTGAGAGTGGATTAGAATGTTTGATGGCTGTAAAAAATTGGAACCGTTTCTTGAATTTCTATAGGTCTGTCTGTCAAACACGAGGACCGTTGAACAAATTTTCGTCAAAACATGGGCATTGAGGTGTTTAGCTAAAATTTGTCGACACGTGCCAATTTTGGTTTCGTTCGGATGATAATATTAACAGTCACTTTACGTGAAATGAAGTACGCATGGATGGGTGGGGAATCCCAGGTTCGATAATTCCCTGGTCATTCACGAAGGTCATTGGTTAGATTCTGACGAACGCTGCGCAAACATTTTGTCACTTTTTAAATTATACATTCCTCAAGAAACGGACGCATTTATGTAATTTGTAACCATTCTTGCGGCCACCCTGACAGCTGCATGCGGTTGATTGTGCTATCCTGACAGTGACGACAACTTCCGACATTTTCATCTTAGTGTGATGTAGTTTGTTGACTCTTTGTGTGTGACATCCACTTTGAGAAAGCTTGAATATCTCTGTGTTAAAACTACTTAGGGAAAGCTATAGCGTTCTGTAGTATAACGCTGTCTGTTCAATGATGTCTTTGTTTTCTCTCTCGCCAGATGGAGCACGTGGGAAAGCTATAGCGTTCTGTAGTATAATGCTGTCTGTTCAATGATGTCTTTGTTCTCTCTCTCGCCAGATGGAGCACGCTACGAAGGCTCAGTTCGTCTGGCGAACCTTACTACATTACGGAACAACATGGCTGCCATGGAGCCTGCTCGGACTCTTCAGAACATACTAGAAAAACAGGCAAGATTTTTTTCTCTGCATATCTTGAGAATAGGATATTACGAGTATATAAAGGTTGATCGTTTTTTCTCTGCATATCTTGAGAATAGGGTATTATATAAAGGTTGATCTAAAAGTCACGGAACACAAATTAACATAATATATTTATTGTTTCAATTCATTACAATTCGATTGGATAAATAAACACACATTATCGCTGTGATTATAATAGAGCCTAAGCAGGTCACGTCTTGTTGTAAGCTGCTCGTCAGTTGTCTTGAAACAGTCGAAGTGGAATGATATCTT